CGGCGGCTGCGCTCCTCCTTCCGCTCCGCTCCGCTCCCGTGCGCGGGCGATAGGCACCGGCAGTGCCGCAGCCGCGGCGGCAGCGGGCGGCGCCGCTGCGGCAGGGTCCCGTCGCCCCCGGCGCCCGTGGCCGTCCGTGCCCGCCCCTCCCACGGAGCCCGCCAGACAACACCCGAAACGTGCGCTGTGTGCCCGCGGGTGTCTTTATTCACCCTGGAGAAGGGTGGCCTGGGAGCCGCGGGGTCTTATCCAGGCGGCGAGGTGAACGAAATCCGAGCAGCACTCAATTCCCACCGGTCAGACTCCACTATGATGCAAATTTACAAACAGGGGAAATAGACTGTCAAATCTGGATATGTATTACCCCAAAGCAGAAGTACAGGGCTGGCAATAACAGATCACTCAGGACGAGTTCGGGAAACAGTCATATTCGGGARGAAGGTCTATATCCAATTTACTTACTTGGGAAGGGGCTACGCTGAGGCCACGGCCAGTCTCCAGGATGYACACACAGTCTGTACGGTCACTGTGTCGGGCAAAATGCCTCTGTGCAGCCTGCCAGAGTTGTTGACATTGCACTTCAGCCGAATTGTCAACCAAAGCCTTTTAATGTGGGATGTGGTCCCTAGTGTCAGTGTGCTGGTATTGCTGACATCCCAGGAAAACGTTTACAGGATGCTCTTAGCATTGCATTATGACTGGGTTTTAATGCAGTATGTACTACTTCTGGTCATTGCTGAAGAAATATAAAACAACCTTGAAGTTGCAAGACACAGCCTCAATATATTGTTGGGAAAAATCAGGTAACTCCATTGAAGTATCTGGCACCATACATCTGGCTGCTTCAGGCTAAGGTAGACAGGAATATGGCTGAGATTCACTGAGGAATGTGGAAAGGTCTTTAGAAGARTTATGTTGCAAAAGACCAGCACCATCAGAACAAGCAGGTGAAGACTTGTGAATCCCTTCTGTACTTCTAGCAATACAGTTTATGTATTTTTGAAAATAAACTTAACTGTTATTGAAGATATCTAACATAATAACGACATTATCTTGCTCAGTGGAATAATGTGAGYCCCTCAATTTTATGTAGAAAGATGCAGTATTCAGTATTTCACACTAACACACTTTACAGAAAAAGAAAATTCAAATATTCATAGATGAAAAATCATCATGTGCAATGTGAGGATACAGAAATACATTGAAATGCACTGCCTGTTCATGCAACAGTTCTGTGTGTACTGCCACGTTTGCAGAACTGTCTCCTTATGTTCAGCTAATGAGAATCCACAGAGGAGGCAGTACACACTACAGAAATCACACTCTTCATGCACCTACACACCAAAAAATATTCTCTGCAGCTCAGCTTGAAACCCATTCTATACTACAAAGCATCCATGAGTATTTTTTTCAGCYAGTAAATCAGTGATCAAGTTTTTGAAGTCACTAAGTTAATCAAATGAAAATCATCTACTTTTCTATTACAGTAACCAAAAGCATAAGTGCATTATATACCTCCCCCAAATTACATGTTGCATTTGATGTCTTAACAGGAAGCTAAAATACTTTTAAAAGTGTAGTGTTTCACTCCTATATAAAAAAGATAGACATCTCCTATTTCTTCTATTTAATCAAGCAATCAAGAYTTACTTGATGAAATATATACCTGAATAGCAGCAATTAGCAAATTATCTCGGTAGACAAGACTAATCAGGTCCACTCACTGAAAGCCAGGGACTGCCTGCAACAGAAGAATATAAACAAACTCTTACCTACAAAACCATCAGCWAGTGAAAAAAACAGCAGTAAAACCAGTAAGCTGAACGAATCAAGACAATGAGTCATTTTGAAATATTAGTTTTGATACTTGTCAATGAAACTATTCTATCAGCACTCCTATTACAAAGTAGCACTTGTGTAAAGGCTATCGTTTTACACCCAGTTTCCAGCAGAGCTGTGAGTATTGAACTAACCGTATATTGATACTACTAATTGATACTACAGTATCTATTTCTGAAGAGTCATTTTACACTCAGATATGAGGAATCAGCCTTCTGAACATTAGCCTGTAACTGGAAAGTTCTCTTACAAAGTGCTGCCTCAGATGACTCTGTCTGGTGCAGGAACATGCACCAAGCGACAGTGTGTTCCAAAATAACGATGTTGCACTAAGACAGGTTTCTTGCTTTTTTATGTCAAAGCAAAAGTGCTAGTTTTGTCAGTGAAATAGCTGCAGGTTCAAACTAAAAAGACTCATGTAATCACTCTATTAAAACAACAATAAATAATAATTAATTATAAAAAACCCTGTATGCAGGACTGAAAAAAATAGTTCTAGAGCTTGGAAAAAATTGCTACTCCATCTGATAAAAATTATTTCTCTGATACCTTGTCTGCCTGACCCACAAAACTGTGGGTCACTGAACACCCATGAAATTTCACAATTGCAACATAGCTGAGGCTGGAAGGGATGTCAGGAAATCCCTTAGACCAGCCTTCTGCTCAGAGCATGGCTGTGTCATGCTGGATATCCAAGGATAACCAGGGTTGTAGACTTCACAACCCTTCAAGTGAACATGTTCCAATGTTCAACCATCCCATAAAATAGGTTTTGTAATCAATTATATAAAAGTTCTCGTATTTCTGTTGGTGTCCATTGCCTCTTGTCCCTTGCTGGACAGCACTAGGAGTCTGGCTTCATCTTTACTYCTCCTATCAGGCTTTCAGATATGTCAATAAGATCCACTCCCTTGAGCCTCCTGTTCTCAAGGTTAAACAGCGACAGCTTTCTCATCCTGTCCTCGTCCTTTCATCTGTGGTTGCACAAATGCTTCTTCCCTGGCTTGCTTCTCATTAACAATAATTCATTCCCTCAAACCCCATTACTCAGACATTGTGCTCTTAACGTATTTTTCTTCCATCCTGCTGTTGTGGGTTGGCCATATCCAGCAGGTAAGCACCCACACAGCTGCCAGCTCACTTCCTTCCACATCCTTCCTCAGTGGGATGGGGAGAGAATAGGAGAAAAAGAAAGAAAACCAGTAGTTCAACATAAAGATGGCTTAATAAGTGCAGAGAAAAAAAGTAAAAAATTTAATATATACTAAGTAAGGATTAAAAAAAWATATGCTAAGGCAACCCCTCACCAAAGCCCACAAGGAGACCATCAGTCTCTGATAAACAGCTTTGAAACCAACTCCTATCTCACCTTTTTCCTCTAACCAGTTTTATTGATGGGCATGGTGTTGTATATTAGATGGGCATGGTGTTGTATATTAGGTGTCCCAGGTCTGTCCTCTGCCAAATTCTTGCCTACTTGGTGTGGGAGTGTGGGCAGAATGGGAAAGAGATACAGCCCTGATCCTGTGCAAGCATTGCTGAGCAATAGCCCAAACATTGGCAGGTTTTCAACCCTGTTTCTGTCACAAACCCAAAACACAGCACAATTTCACTGCCATAAAAAAGGTCACCTTACATCTGGGCCAGATCCAATACAYCTATAAAAACATCCTTGGAACAAAAGGCTCCCCGTTTTGGAATTTCACACTCATGGTTATGGCAACCTGTCTCATCGATACCACTTCAGAGTAATTCCTTATCTACATCCCCAACTCATTTCTTACCATCTTCTAAAAGAAAGAGAAAGAAGCAAAATAAAATATAAAACAAATTGGGGAGAAAAACACTCACAAAAGCTGGCAAGAGTTATAGCTGAAGAGCTAAACAGTTCCTGAACTTAGAAGAAAGAAAAGGCAAACAGATATATCCCATGGAAATTAAGAAATTAGGAGACAATGATATTTCACATACTAATACTGCTTTACAGTATGAAAAATAGAATTGTGTAAAAGATGTGGAAGAGCAGAAATGTTTCCACTGCATATTTGGAAAACAGAAATAGTAACAGTGTTTTCACATCACATAACATGAAATACTTTCCATTAAATCAATAATATGAAAGGATAGTAAACCACATGAACTAAAATTAAACACTTATTTTTAAACAGCAGGCTGAAGAGTTATTAGAAAAATTAATGAATGACATGATAGACAGCAATGTTAATAATTAAGTTTGTTTCCTAACTGCTGAACTGCTGACGAAACTTCAWAGAAGTAGAATAAAATTAATGTTGTAACAAGTGAAATTGAGAAAAACAAACACACACATATGCACACACACATTAAGGAAAAAAAAATGAAGAAAGCATTTGGATATAGATTTTAACAAATATAAAGGATAATTTATAAATGTTATAATGGATAAATATTAGTGGAATCTTGGGATATGGATGATTAATATGTACATTTTGATCCTTGACAAGCAGGTTTTAGATTACTAAGAGGAAGTTAGGGATGATTTCATCATTGATAGGTTAAATCACAAAAATCAAATTTTGAGCAGAATTTAATACATATAYCTAACTTTACAATACCAGTGGAACTTGGAAAAAAAGCAGGAGAAGAAACAGAATATTACATGATCTTTTACTTACTGTCAAGCAGAACTTCAGTACTAGGGTCAAATGATATAGGGCTTACAAAAATTAAAGYAGAAACTGTATTGACAGTTTTGAAGATGAAAGTCCCACGGCAAATTTTACACTTGAATAAAGTACTTCTGTTCATCCTGACCAAGTTTACTCGAAGCAAGCATGATTCTACTCCAAATAATCCATACTGATTTCAAACAGACAGGCAATACATACCAAGCCTAGATGAAATCACTAAAGAAGAACTGGGTGAGGTGAATTTACACCACTCATTAAATACCTTTTAATTGCATCTGCTGGCCATATGGATGCCTTTAGCAAATAGAACAACTGCATGTGCCTTCTGCAGTAGAAGAATAAAGGAATAATCAGTTTGCAGCTACTCTGATAGTTCCATTAGAATTAAAGAAAACACAAATTAAGAAAAAGTGGAATCTGAGTTCAGCCTTACACTGATAGTATTTAACTACACTGTCCAAGTTGGTTGCAATGGCAAAAGARGTCTTCAGAAAAATAGGACTAAGCTGGAAGGCAAAAGGTCAGAAAAATAGTAAGGGGCAACCCAAGGTCTTTCAAGAAAGAAAATATGCTCTAATATTGCTGAACCCTTGATTCATGGATGATTTGGTGGATAAGGATTTGCTGGATGGTGGCACTCAAAGAATTGTGGTCGATGGCTCCATGTCCAAGTGGAGACCAATGATGAGGGACTCCTCAGGGGTCACTAGTGGGACAAGTGATGTTTAACATCTTTGTTGGTGACCTAGGATTGAATGCACATCAACAACTTTGCCAAGGATGCCAATCTGTGTGCTGTGGTTGAYACAATGGAGGGAAGGGATGACATCCCAGAAGAATCTTATCAGGCTGAAGAGCTGGGCCTGTGTAAACCTCATGAACCTCAACATGGCCAAGTGCAAGGTCCTACAGGGTCAGGACAATCCTAAACACAGACACAGGCTGGGCAGAGAATGCACTGAGAGGTGCCCTGGGAAGAAACAGAGGTGCTGATGGACAAGAAGCTCAACATGACCTGGCAACGTGCACTCACAGCTCAGATGGCCAAATGTGTCCTAGGCTACATCAAAAGTAGCRTGGGCAGCAGAGCAAGGGAAGTGATTCCCCTCCTTTACTCCACTATCATGAGATACCTTCCAGATTRTTGAGTCTTACACTGGGGTCCCTAACATAAAAAGGACATGGACCTGCCAGAAAGAGTCCAGAGAAAGGCCAGGAAGGTGATGAGAAGGCTGGAACACCTCTCCTATGAAGACAGGTAGAGAGAATTGGGGCTGTTCAGCCTGGAGATTTATTCAGTACTAAATACTTGAAGATTTATTCAACACTAAAGAAAAAAAAAAAGATTAAAAATTATGAGGGGCAACTTCTTAACACACAAAAAAACCACAGGACAAAAACAAGGTCCTGTTTCCAACATACCGTATCTCATGATGCTCTTCTAAAAGTACAATGAACAACTGTACTGCATATAATTRCAGTATAACAATGCATTGCCTCTGTAAAAATAAAATAAATCTGAAGGCTTTACTGTGTTGTCATATTAATTCACTGTATCTTGGTCCTGTTTCTGTTAGAACAAAAATAGGTGTAGAATGACACAAAACTTTGCATCTTGAGAGAAGTACTTTTTACATCTTGACAGAAGTATGGTTTTAAGCTCAAGCATAGTGAGGTAACTCAAACAATTAAATCAATTTATTTTCAAATCTCTGGGTACCTGAAATTGGWGTATGCTATCTATTACAATAAAAGGACTCAGAGAGCTGAGCATGCACTGTAATATACAACTGACCAGAAAGGAGGAACAGAAATGCAGGCAGGGAATGCTTTGAGGCAACAGATGCTGCACTGGGTGTCTCTCGAGAGGCTGTRGCAAACCAGATACTGCACTAATATACATGAAGAGAAAACCTGACATTGCCAAATCAGGCCCCTACAGGTGCCATATGCAAAGCACGGTTTGTCCAAGAGAGGGTCAAATACAAGAGTGAGTACAAGAGACCTATGCTTGCCAACAACTTCAATATTGGACTGTCCAAATGTAGCACTTGGTGAATCAGAACCATCATCTCACTGAAAACAATCAAGTGTACCAATATAAAACATGAGAAAGCTAATCATAGTCTGAAGATAATTAACAGGAGAATCATATATACTCTGCTGTACCTAGAGAGTTGAGGTTTTGCTGTCAGATTATAGTTTTGAACAAGTGATGAGAAGATRAGGTTTT